TTGATGTGATTATAAAACTTGCAAATGCTCCCAAAACTGTTCATGAATTTTAATAATGGAAGGCCTTGTCAAAAATAGTGTAAAGTCATTGTGAAGGCGCCTTGGCTCTCTGGAGACAGCCTGTAATTTATCTGTGATTTCACTATTTGACCCACACTTGTTACACCAAGTTAAACCTCGTGAGAATGAGGAAGTGAATCACTGAGGTAACTTCAAAGCAAAGTGAATGGGGCAGTAGCAGCTATACCCCCCCCCCCCCCGACCCCCGTATTTATAGTATATAAAATATTATATAGAAATATATTATAGAATACAACTATTCTATCCCATTATATATCTTGCTCACAGTCATGGGATAGCAGCAATAGTATGCATAGAATATAATAGAATAGAATAGAATAGAATATAGATCTGTTATGTAGGATATAGTATATAAAATATTATATAGAAATATAATAGAATACAACTATTCTATTCCTTTATATATCTTGCTCACAGCCATGGGATAGCAGCAATAGCATTTATAGAATAGAATAGAATTAATAGTTATAAAGTGTTAAATAAATGCATTGATAAACAGGGCTCAGATTTAATTAAGTCAAAATGGCAGTGTGTTTGGTCAGGCGTGACGGAGACACTCTTGGGGCTAATTTGCCGCCGTGTTCATGTGTCAGCCTTGCTGGTGCTGTGCACGCCTGCTTTCTCCCTGGGACATTTAGTCCCGTAACGCTTCTACACCATAACAGATACTGTATCTTATGTGAGCTCCGGGCTGTTGTCGGAACACTGAACTTGTCGCCACTTGTCCTTCAATCTCCCGCCGCAGCCGCAGCCGCAGCTGAACCCCGGCTTGGGAGTCGTGCAGAGGGGGCGCCAGCTGCACACGTCCCCTCTCCCAATTAAGGTCGCAACAGAGACGCTTAACGAGCCTCTGCTCTAATTAAACACTCACCCTGGGCCAAAATATCTTCCGTAGAGTATATCACATGATCTGAATCTGGATATGTAGCTTCAAACACAGTTATAGTTTGAGTAGTAACATAACATAACGTTTTTTTTATTAATAAATCATGTTATATTATGAAAATTTGTATTATGGCTTATTCTGGGAGCGCATAAGACATGGTAATGTCTGATCAGGCATTAGTCCATTGCAGAACATTTGTACGC